ATATATATATATTATTAATAAATATATATATATTAATATATATATATATTTAATATATTTATTATATTTATAATTTACTTGATTAAAAATTTTTGCAATTTAAGTAAGTTAAAAATTCATAAGAATTCTGCATGTAAAAGCAAAGATATTGGAGTAGGAGATAAAATAAATCTCGTATAAAATCAAGATACAGATGTATGAAGATATATACTACATTTATTTTATTTATTTAAGAGCAAATTTATGAGCCCCTTTTCTCTGAGAGCATTTTTTTTTACTCCTGGGAAGAAATTATTTGGCAATATTACCGTACTCTCCGGAATTCGAAATCTTTGTTATATTCAGGATATAAACTGCTATAATGCAAGTCCGGCAACTGTCGATACGATGTTTTATAGCAATTCTCACACGGTGGCAGAGAACGGGGAACATCTCCTTGAAAATAATGGCCTCGCGGAATTTCGGGGAGTAGGTTTGCCACGCTTCACTCGTCGATCCCTGAAAGCACTATAGTCTGTAAGTTGTTTCGTTCGCAAGGTCGTATTTTAAATGAATATTGCATATTTATTCAGTAGTGGCTCCGTGTATCAAATATCTCTAGTATGATATTATTTTTATCCCTCATGGAAATTAAAGGGTCTTTAAAATTATTTATCTTCGCGCGGAATTGAGAATCGAGAAATTAACTCTCCCGTTACCTACCTTCATTCCAGCGAACGATATTTGCACGTAAGGATTAACGTTCTCGAAATCGGTCTTCCTGCACAAACTGCTCATGTCGGGCAGGCCGTCGGCGCGATAAACGACGAAGATGTATCGAGCGCGTTGCCTGAAGAGCAATCTCTCACCACCGATGGGTAGCAGTAGATTCCTATGTTCATTTAAACACATTCCCACGAGATTCGAGCACAGGCGATGGATATTCTGACAAGCCACTCGGTATAAATTATCGATATGTCGATAACAGAAATTTATTTTTGATAGAGATTACCCTTCGATGTCGTCTTCATCTTCTATCTCTGGATGCACCTTTACCTTCTCACCTTTGACGTTTACCATGATATTGCACTTTACGTAACCCTTTGGGCCTGTCGTTAAGTCCTTTGGGTCCCTCAATACGGCCCATTTATGATAATACTGACGATCTATATGCAGAAGCAAAAATATATATATTTTGAAAATGCTTCTTGAAAAAGTTATAGATAAGACTTTTAATTTAATTGCATTTTTAGTCTTCTCAACTTTTAGCTATTTTACTTTTTGAAGTAATATTTCTTCGAATATTTCATTTTTTTCAATAAGACATTATTTCTCTATTATCTGTTTGCAAATTAAAATGTTTATCTTTTGCCAAGATAATTAAGTTGTTTATATCATTTAAAAAAAAAAAATTTGGGATTATTTCTTTTTAATTCGCATATCAGTAAAGTTCTAAAATACATTCGTATTTTCGTATTTTTATCTTTTTCTTTTTTGTAACCTGGTTGTTCCCATACTGTGGCAACTTCGAAGGAAATGCTTCCATGAAACTTTAGTCGCCGAAGAAAGTTCCGCAGATACACCGCTATCGTGATTTCCGTGTTTAACAGATTGTCCAAACTGCACGTGAAGTCGAATACAAAGTACTACGTATTTTAAAGGGCAAAAGGTAAATATTCCACGCGAATAAAATATCTGCATTAAATGCTACTATGTATCGAAAGTTAAATACCAATCTTTCAGAAAAACTGAAAGTACTAGAAATTTCAATCTTGACAATTTCAAATTCTTCAAATTTAAAAAAAATATTGAAGGACTTTTCAATCTTTCATAATTTTAATGATCTGCAATTTTCAATGGCAGCCATAGCCCTTCCAATAGCCCATAGCCATAAATTTTTAGAATATAGTATTAAAAAATTTATATTTATATATATATATATATATTTAAATATATATTTATATTTATATATATATTTAAATTATATTTTTAATTATAAAATAGAATTTATAAAAGAGAAACATTTTACAAAAGAGAGCATTTTACAAAACTTTGGGTACATTTAAAGTATATTAAATTTATTTATATTGGTTGCATATTCCATACAATAACAATATGATGTGTTTATGTGTTTATAACTTAAAAAATTCGTTAAAGTTCAAAGAAAATTACAAATACTAAGACAAATTAATATTATCTCAAATTATTACATTCAAATTATTAAAGATTTGCTTATTAAAAGATATCTATTAATTTTAATTTTGAATCGAGTGGTTTTATACAAATCAATTTCGACAGATTGGATAACTTCACCTCGTTGTATATAGGATTATCAGTCCTCTGGCGTACCACTGTCCTCCTCTTGCGATTTCCAACTTTGACGACGACCAACGGATTCGCATTTTGCGGCAAGTACTTTGCTTCGAGTATAGTTACGCAAACTTGATAAATGGAGAACTTCGGCCTGAATTTCTTGAAAGGCATAGCGGAGCGCAAATTCGATCGGTAATATTGGCCGTATGCCAGATGCGATTTGCATTTGTTTAACTTGCCGCTTGTTTGTTTCTGAACACATTGAAAATTACGAATGTGACAGTTATGAATTTATGCATAGCAATACAAGAAGGCGAACAAAACAATACTTTAATAAGACTTTTTTTCGTCAATAAAACTTTTTCCATTTTCCTTTATACTGTCGGCAAAACTTTTTTCACGTTGTTTAAAATTTAGCATTACATAAAGTATTTTTTTCCAAACAAGTTTTCTAAAATGTTTTTCTTTCGGATGTAAATCATTTTTTAATTTCTTCTTTCACAAAACAGCATATTATATATTTTGTTTGTATCTGTTAAAAAGCAATTAGAAATCAGAGGTCTGTAATTAAAATATTTTTTTATTTCTTCATGTAACATTTATAGCTTGTTCTCTCTTTGCAATTTAATTAACAAATTTACATTTTTATATAGTATTTGCAAATAAGCTAACTTATCAACGGATTCAGATTTTTTACTACATATCAACAGATGGTAAAAATATTAACTGAAGATATATTTTAAATATGATCGATAAATATTTTTCCGCGTTTACCTACCGTTGATTTCATTCAATTTGATTAGTAGTTCCGTCGTTTTTCGTTTTTTTCAAAAAGCAGGTAACAAAATTAAAATATAATATTAAAAGAAGATCAATACTTGAAAGAAATTGATTGTTAACTTTTTATATAAAATGCAAAGAACGTTAGTTATAAAATTTAATTTTGATATAAATTTTTTTAATATACAACAAATTAATATTCTTATACAAAATACTTATATTATCGTTAAATATTTTTTATAGTTTAATAGATAAAATTTTAAATTATTAAAGCACATTTTTAAATTGTATTGTGCAGTTGTGTTGCGCTATTATTCTGTTATTATTCTTTTCTAATTTAAAATGTAATGTATCTCACAATTGTGTATCGTGATGCGTATGTGGCCGAGCTTAAACCGTATAATAAATAATTATCATAACAAAGCATCACGGTTATTTTGTAGTAAAAGGCTTTTACTGTAACAAAATTCCCATTTTCAATCGTATGACAAATAATTTATAAATAAACAATATTTATTTTATTACTTCTTCTATTTGAAATGATGGAATGAACAATTATTTCTTGAAAAAAAACATTAATTATTAATAAAATATAATTTTAATTTAATAAAGTATGCATTATTAAATTTATATGTCACAATATATTTTAGAATAGTTTTTCTTTATAAACAGAAACTGCGTATATTCGAATAACAGACTTTGCTTCCCTTGACTTCATGTTGTTTTCATCAAAGGCCACCCTGTCAGACACAAGTGCGTGCTTCACACGTCAATTTTGCGCCAGTCCGTGTAAATACAGACCTCACACCTGACAAAGTACTTATTCCCCGTTCTGACAGCAATCGAAATGCAGTCGTAATCTAAAATATTGACGCATAATTAAGCTAGAAGTGTCAATCTTGAATGTGTGAGAACCTTTTTTTCATAAAAACTTTAGACGTTAGGGCGTTTTGTTATATATTATTGCAAAATTAACACATTATCAATTTTTCTCCAATTTTCATTTTTTCCCTCAAAAATTATTTTTTTATTAGTTTGATACAAAAATTTTATTAACAAATAAGATATATATTATTCCATTGATTTATCGTCTTGAAGCTTTTTATTTTAAACATGTGAAACTTTTAATTAAAGATTGAAAATCTTAATTAAATTGATAACACCCCACATATTTTCTATCAATGAATATTGTTAATATTAAAACTTTAGAGACAACAATTTTTTTCTTCTGACATGGAACTAGAAAATCAATATGACTAATTTAAAAATATATTAAAGATATAAAATAGTTTTTTGATCCCTTCGACTAAACTGTCGTCTAGTTTGTGGCTGAATTTAACGGGAAACGTACATACAAGTGATTTACAACTTGTATGTAACAGCACGTGGCGAAACATGTGAGACGTACTCGTAATAGTTTCCGAATATACACCCTCCGTTACACGCCCCTACTGATTCATTCGAATTGTTGTTTCCTCCCTTACGAATCACCAACTATGCGAAACGTATTGATGCCCGTCATCGATATCGTTTCTCTTTATTATTATGGAAATTTATAGTATAAAAAAGTCCTCGGTAAAACGCGAAATATAAGGGCCGAGAATGTGGATCGTTGTTAATGAGAGCGAATATACTAACTCACGTTTAACGCAATAAAATTTTCCCATGCAAACGCATCATCATGCAATTAATTGTTGTGTCTTTGCAAAGAAGTCATCAGTAAACTCGACATTATTAAACATTAAACTTAAAGACGAATCGGAGATTTAATTATTATAATTTTCTTGAGATAATAGCAAGTGCGAAAGAATCATAAAAAATTATAAATGTTTAAAACGCAAAAAATTAAAACATTTAATGATTAATTATATATGTGCTATGTATAACATAAACAGTTTGCCTCATTAAAAAAGAAATTTATTAATTACTTTTCCAATAATTGGAGAAATATAAGAGTAATTTATTTAAATTTTGATGACAGTACAATTGTCCAAATCAAAATAATCTTTAATTCATTTATCAATGAATTTTTTTTAATATACTGTAAAGTATCTACGCTATCTATTACTCTTTATTTCGCCTTCAATTTTTCTACCTAATTTTAAATAGAAAGATAACAATAAAAACTCTCGTAGTCTCATAGATCTCAATTATTTGAGATTTCCGCTCGACGAATCCATTATCGCGTTGTAACGTCATTATCAACTTGAATTTACCAGCTTGCCTCTAATAAAGATTCAAATTACAATGGTGTTAGTGCGCGCAATAAAATTTTTGTACTCCGAAAACGCGGAAAACGCGGGCAAAATTACCGAGTAATCATCACAATAACGCGTCAGAGGGAAAAAAAGAGGAGAAAGAAATGATGGTAAAAAAAAAAATGCTAACTCTCAGGGGTCGAGACAAGCGTGTTAGCCGCGGGGTTGTAAGTTAACCCCGCTAAACTGATCGCGAAACACGAGCGTCCCCGACGGGGGGGCTTCGCCGTCGGGGGTGTTCGTTATACTGCGAGCCCTTTGAGAGGGTCACGTGCCTGTGCGGCGGACCCCTCAAGCCGATATCGTATTTGTACAACACGTACGGCCATTATTGTAATACGCCTGTTTGTGTGTTTTGCGCAGTCTTTGTACGCCTCCACTCTCTATATGATCCGTCTTCTTTTTCCTTCTCCTTTTCGTTCCCATTCTTTTTTTCTCATCTTTTTTGGTTTTTTTAGTTTCTTTTCTATTCTCCTGTTCT